CGGCGGCAGCGACGACGAACCGGACGCACCGGATTGTGTCGCAAAGACGCGGATGTTGTTTGGTCGACAAGGAGCAGAAGGAGACACAGTATGCGATGCATGCCGAGCGCAGGTGACGAGAAGCGGTGGTGTGGTTAATCTGGCGAGCCGGAGACGCGCTCTCAAGTGCGCGCTGTCGTCGACGATTTCCCTCTAGTGACTTGACATCAGCATACATCCAATTGCTGTTGCCAGAGTCGATTGACGTGGCTTGTTAAGTCATCTCGTAGTGGTGTCCGATGCGCATGTCAGGAAGCGCGTAGGAAGGTTGATTGCTACCATGCGATCGATGGCACGATAGTGAAATGGTGTGACGAGCTCTTTTTTTCATCTTTATAGTTAGCATCGGCTGCCAAGAGGATCTCCTGCTTGTTCAGCGTTGTCGGAGTCGCCAAGTAGCTGTACGTCGTGCTGCTACAGTGTGTCGCCACGGCCTTGAGGTGTCATTACAGTTTGCCGTCAATGCCGAGTTGTCGATCCTTGCGATGTGGGCACTGCTGTCCATCCTCTCGTGCACTTGTGTCTTGTCCACGCGTGGTAATGGCGCCAAATGGTATGTGTACTCAGCATACGCGACGTTGGCCACCTCTTCTCGCCCGTCTTTGGTCTGACGGACGTGCAGTGAATCGTTACGTGTTGTGGTCGCACTTGTACTGAGGATGTAGGAAGTGAAAGTAATATATGTTGAGAGTAAATTACAGTCGGTTGTTAACCATACCTTTTGCACTTGGTCCGACCAAGTTACACCTGGTACACGTTTAGCCTGCCCATCACCATGTGCTGGCCTTAAACAATGTCGTCCGGATATCGCTGTCTCACTCATCATCTCCTCCTGATAGTCCGACATGACGACCCTCTTTTCTCGAACCATATGTCCGCCAGTCACATCTTCGTCCTACCTGTCAGCTTATTAGCCAATCAGGTGAGATCGGGACGTACCTGTAACAGGTCTTGCAGTTGAACACTGGAACTTCGATGACCTGTCAGAAAGCATATATTCTAACACATGTCTTGCTATGAAGCTTTGCAAGGAGTACAAATGCCGCAGCGTAGCGCTTATTTGCTTGTTTGTTCGAGCATGGACTACTACACTGTACGGCAATCGACGAGCACGGAGGAACTACTTTTGCTCAAGAGTAGACCAACGTTAACAAGCCAACTGCAATCGTAATAATACACTTCGTTTTGTTACTCACTTCAATAAGAACTACGTTTTCGTTTGTCTTTCATGGCGCTATCGACACCTATACGCTCTAGAACGTAGGAGTCAAGCACACCAACAGCACGCGTGGCAAGCAATCGCAATGATGACGAAGAGTAATGAGTCTTCATCAGTCACTGCGAATGCATGCCACGCTCAACTTCGTCCAAAAACACGCCACGTTCCACAGCTCCAACGGGGGTAATGAGCCCCAAAGAAAAGCGGATCGCAACGCATTGTCGAACAAAGTCTGCTGCCATGCCTTGACCGCACCACGTTCCGGAGCCTTCGGTGAGCGATGGACTCCAAGAGACGCAACAGAGAGCAATGGGTCTCTGGAGCGCCAATCCCGGAAGCTCCGTTGCCCTCTTCTGGCAACGTGTGTGTGGCTTAACACCCGTTTCCCAGCGCGATGCGTCTAACTCCAGTCTTCACGCGCGTCTGTTTTTTTGCTGACGGAATCCTTGAAGCACCAGTGCCGGCAGTCGCAGCAATGATAGCACGGGCAGCAGCAGTGGATTCCACACGCGCACAAGTGGATACTGTGCTCGAAGTCGCACCACACGCGCTCGAGCAGTAGTCGCTGGACGAACACGCGCACGAGTGGCTACTGCTCTCGCAGTCGCGCCAACAGGCGCTCGAGCAGTAGTCGCTGGAAGAACACGCGCACGGGAACCAGCAGTAGGTCCGGCGCCCACACTGACAGAGACGTCCTTGGCACTTGCAAGCACGCGAACGCAATGATCTTGGCCGGTTCTGGTTTTCTCGCGATGCGTCGTGCTTGTTGTGGTTGCCACTGCGACTGCCTTCACATGTGCCTTCTGCTGCATACGTGCCTTGTTGTCGCCCGTCGCTTCCGCACTGCTGTCTTGGAAGTCCTTCTGCTGCAGAACCAGCTTCAACTCGGACTCACGCCGGACCTTGAGCTGGTCTTGCGTGGCCTCCAGCAGCTGCTGCTCTAGTCTTGCACTTGTGGCCTCAGCCAGTTCGGCGCGTTGCCGGAGCGCCAGCACTTCACTCTCCATCTTGAGCCGCGACTCGATACCTTCGACTCGCTCGTTTTCTGCCATCCTCGCGATGTCCGCTCGCAGCGCACTGAGGTGCGTCAGCGAAATGACTTGTTCCTGTAGCGCATCGTTCGCGCGTTGGAGCTCGCTGCACGAATGCGAGATTGCTTTGCATGTGCTTTGGATGAACGTTTCCGTGGTATTCATTGCGAACGGGAGAGCAGAATGGAAAATGACAAAGAAGCACGCGGGGCGGCGGCGGAGTGGTCATGGGAAACAATTCATTCATTAACGTTAAGCGAAGTGGATATGCAAAATGGACTACTTCAACTGTAAGAGAAGTGGCCTGAGACGCGGCGGTGGGCCAAGTCGAAAATGGAGTAAAATGGCGCAAAAAAACGGACGCGCGGGTAGCGGCAATTGGGACAAGGCATTGTTTGATGTAAACAAGACGATGAAGTCGACGAGACCAAAAGATGTGATGGGTTGACCCGTGTAAGTGGGTTTTATTGGTGTTAGAGGTAAGAGAGTGGTGATGTGTATTGATTAGAGGTACTTATGGACGGCTCGACAGAAGATTCATGCTGCCAGCTATCGTTCCTCTTCATATTTCGCTGCGTCGAACGACAATTAAGTATGTTTCGCTGCTTGATAAGCACAAGCTTGACATGATGCTATGACTACCTATTCACCTTCGCACTAACGCTCTCTTCGGCGTTCTGCCCCAAGGAGGCGTCGTCGCAATGCTGCTACCGCTATCCTGTATGGCTTCGAGCTCACTGGAAACACTGTCACATCTACGAGGTGGCTGACATCAGTATGCGACTTCGATAGGCCGACAAAGTTGCCATGCAGAAGCTCGAAGCACTGCCGCTGGTGTTTGTGAAGACGTACATGTTTCCAGGCTTTGTGCTTACTGGCATGGCAGCATCGTATGCGTTATAACTCATCGGCCTTACTGGAAAGCAATGGGTCGGTGGTCCATTGCCTATGAGCTGTCAGTGTATGTTCGAAGGAGGACACGAGCACGACGGACGGTGGAGGTGTCAGTCGTTGCGCTATCATCGATGCCGACGACAATGGTGCGGTTATCTTGTCGTAATGTGCCAATACCAGGCAGTTTCAATCTGGTAATTAAAACGGGTGACTGCACTGTTGTTGTTGTTGTTGTTGTTGTTGTCGTTGTTGTTGCTGTTGTTGTTGTCGTTGTTTTTGTAGTTGTTGTAGTAGTAGTAGTAGTAGTAGTAGTAGTAGTAGTAGTAGTAGTAGTAGTAGTAGTAGTAGTAGTAGTAGTAGTAGTAGTAGTAGTAGTAGTAGTAGTAGTAGTAGTAGTAGTAGTAGTAGTAGTAGTAGTAGTAGTAGTAGTAGTAGTAGTAGTAGTAGTAGTAGTAGTAGTAGTAGTAGTAGTAGTAGTAGTAGTAGTAGTAGTAGTAGTAGTAGTAGTAGTAGTAGTAGTAGAGGTTGTTGTTGTTGGTTGATGTAGTAGTAGTTGCTGTTGGTGGTGGTGGTGGTGGTGGTGGTTGTTGTATTAGTTGTTGTTGTTATTGGTGTTGTTGGTGTTGTTGGTGTTGTTGTTGTTATTGTTGTTGTTGTAGAAGTAGTGGTATTAGTAGAAGTAGTAGTTGGTGTTGTTGTTGTTGTCGTTGGTGGTGGTGTTGTTGTTGTTGTTGTTGTTGCTGTTGTTGTTGTTGTTGTTATTGTTGTGGTAGTTGATGTAGTAGTAGTTGTAGTTGCTGTTGTTGTTGTACGAGGTGGTGGCTATTGTTGTTGTTGTTGGTGGTAGTGGTGGTTGTGGCGGCTTGAAAGTGGAATGGATACAAGGGCCTTGGTATGACGTTCAAGTTCCATGCCATGACGTTTGGAAGTGACTCTTGTCGAGTACGTGCATGCAAAGGTTCTCACGTTACTTGCGATAGCTACTTGTAATGCGGGGACTGCTAGCGTGTGGCGTGCGCGAACATTATCTTGAGAACGCTATCGAGTTGATGTTGGGCGTCCACATCCTGGCACGCGACAGAAGAAGATTGCCATTCCGTTTCGTGCTGCAGATGTTTCGTCAGAGCGGTCGGAGTTCAGCGATCCTGGTGTTTGTATTGTGTTCACTCTGCTCGTATATCATTCACTACGCTAATTCGACGAAGGAGGAGGTCCTATGTACTTTGCAGATGCTGTGGCGCTTGGACACCTCGACGCAGGAACATCGATACAATCGATGGTTTGCTAGTGTCGAGCAAGGCTTGAATGGCAATGACCGAATGGCTCTGTGCAATGTGCTGCGTATCAGTCTTACCGACAGTCGACAGTTCGAGACGTTGTGTCGAACCTGCTACTACCGCATGGAGGCGATAAACGTTCACCTGAACACCTTTTTTGCGAGGGCAGTATACATACGAGAGGCCACGGAACTATATGGTGACACCAGTAGTCTGAGCATGTCACTCCTCCTTTGCACGATCAAAGTAGGGTACGTGTAACGTCGTTGTACTCGAGATTAAGTTCGTGGAGACGTGCGGGGGTCCACCAGCTTCCCCGCACGTCCTATACTCTCAACCTCTCTGACGGCTTTGCAACATAAGGAAAGCTGAGGGATGTACAATGCTCGAACGTTGACCGACTCTGACCACGCAAAAATGGCGTGCCAAGAATAAGCAGCAGATCGGCAACTTCTCCAGGGCACTCAACCGTTTTCAGAAAGAAGACTCAACGTTCGCGCTTTTGTAGATGATGACAGCAAGGAGACAGTCAGAAGCGGTATGGGCGAGCTTCATCTGCAGATCTACGTGGAGCGTATGAAGCGTGCATACAGCGTGGACGTGGAGACTGGCGCGCCGCAAGTGAACTACCGCGAGACGATTCGCCAGCGCAGCGAGTTCGACTACTTCCATAAGAAGCAAACTGGCGGGGTGCTTGGGTCAATACGCGCGTGTGGTAGGATGCATTGAGCCACTTACGGACGAAGAGGTCGAAGAGCTTAGTGACGAGGGAAATAGCTCGGGCGTCGTCTTCGAAAACGCAATTATTGGCACGCGAGTCCACCCAAGTACATCGCAGCTTGCTCGAAGGGTGTCAACGACGCAATCCAGAAAGGGTGGCTCATTGGTCACCCGATGCAGCGCATGCGTGTGGTGGTCAATGACGGTCAGTCACACTCGGTAGATTCCAGCGAGCTTGCTTTCCGCACAGCTACGATGCTAGCTATTCGCCAAGCGTTTATGAAGGCCAACCCGTGCATCGTCGAGCCCGTCATGGCGGTGGAGGTGGAAATGCCCAACGAGTTTCAAGGTACGGCCATTGCCGAGGTGAACCGTCGTCGCGGTCTCATTAGCAGCAGCGATGCCGATGACAGGCACATGGTCATTAAGTGCAACGTACCACTGCAAAACATGTTTGGTTTCTCGACGGATTTGCGGTCATCCACTCGGGGCAAGGGCGAGTTCGCGATGGAGTACACAAGACACATGGCATTGTCGAGCGTGACATGCAGGAGAAGCTGATGAACGAGCACGAAAAGGCGCAAGCGGCTAAGAACAAGTAGATATCCGGGTGCTTGGATTTTGCTCGCTACGACATGTGCATAGGCGAAGTCTGCAAAGGTTGGCGATAGACAATGTTGTAGGATACCAGATAGAAGAGACTCGGTATTCAGCCACATGACAGACGGAGCTGATTCATGGATCTAGAATTTCTACAAGCACCATGTGTACGAGCAATGGAGGTACACCTAGTGAAAGGCGAGTAGTATGCTCATCGTTTCGGCCTGATAAAGAAAGACGTGGAATGCTGCAAGTCTCCACTATACCGACAGCGTTGTCGATAAACGATCGACATTGTCGCCCGGCAGTCATCCGATCTGGCGTCCATTTTGACTCGTTCCAAAATGACGCTGAGACGCGAGAAGGCCTCGATCTTGATGATAAGCTGATATAATGAAGGAGAGCGAAAGAATGAGAGTGAATTCATTCTCAGCAAGAGCTGGCAAGCTCTTTCAACCTCTGGGTATAGTTTGGATGCCTACATCGTGTGAGATTGCGAATGTGAGGTAATTGAGATATCGAGTACGTACGTACGTACTCAATCGAGCGTGTACGTAAAGTGAAGAAGTGGTCGTAAGTAAATGTGACCTGATGAGTGATATGGCATCCCAATGCAGTACCTGCCAGAAGCTAGACGTTCACATGGAGCGGTAGAAGGAGACGCGACAGCAGCAAAGTTGTTATACGGTAGTGTCAGTTTGTCAATTGCGAAGTCAAGAAGAGATGGAGTCCTTTCGAGGGCTTTAGAGACCGTACGAAGTAGATGTGAAGAATGCATTGATCTACAAGCGTCGCTACTAAAAAGTATATAACGCAGATCGCGAGTGATGACAAGACCACGACGCACTGCTTGATCAAGGACAGATGCACGAAGGTAGTCAAAAGAGGGAGTACGAGCTATCACCGAGCATAGGAAGTAGTGCACACATCGCGATTTGAGACCGACAGCAACATCCCGGCGATGTCGTTTATGACACTTTGAGTCTACTAGCTCACTTCGCAACAATCCTTGTACGACGCTCGTTCGCGACAAAGATAGCAAGCACTCTCGCCATCGGATGCTGAATAATGAGGCGCGTTGATACGATTGCCATTGTTTTTTCTATCCACGACACGATCGAAACAAATGCAAAGCAATAATCTCAAGACAGCTCTCACCACCACAATTAATTTGAGGAATCGAAAGCGAGTAGAACACCGACAGGATGATCTTCCTGCATCACATGTTCATTTCCATATTATGCGACGAAGTTCTTGACCGCCGCGCTCGGAAACCGCAATCCCTCCATATCGTAGATTCTGCCATCCTCTTCGGTGATCTAAGTGATGACAAGATCCTGCAAGTGATGCAAAGCTAGGAGGTGATTGTTCCCGGTCCGATCCGCGAACCAATACCATGGCAGAATATGGTTCTGTTCGCCATGGGCAAGAATGCACAGCGTCTGATCGATACAGGTGCGCTTCTAGCGGGTGTGACAAAGAGCAGGGATTGTTTTCTCAAGCGGCCCGGCTTTGTAGTTGCTGACGCGATGTACTTTGGTGGCCGAAAAGAGCACAACTGCAGGATGATCGTAGAGGAGGTTCGGAGGATAACGTTGCTCCAGGAAAAGTCTTCGATGCTGGAGAAGGAGACGTGTGTCAGTTTTGACGAAGCACGCTCGTGAGGGTCGGACATGAAGCTTCTACGAGATGCATCCGCTGTCATAGCATTTGCACCAAAACTCACGAAGGACAAGTTGGTGCAAGGTGCAGGACGAATGAGGCAGCTCAGATGCGACCAGACGCTTTGGAGTGCAATTTTCGACAAGGTGGCGCAGACAGTCCCACTAACAAGTGGCCAGCGATTGCGGGAAGATCGGACGTAGAAGCAGATGGAGACGAAGAGGACGACGATGAAGCTGACTAGGATGAAGATAGTGACACGGTCGATAGCATCGGTCCTCATGGAGGAACCACAGACGTTGGATAGCATACAGGAGGACAATTACGTAATACCTGCTGGCCAATTGTCCAGGCTGCGATTGCCACACGAGTTTGCTGTGGCGGGGGGCTGTTGCAAAGGACAATGGCGATGTTTGCGCTGCATTTGATGCATGGAGCTATGTGCTAAGCACAAGACAGTTTCCGTAGCGGCGTGTGTATAAAAGTCGGGTGTGACGCCGTTGATGGCCTGTTTTACATGCTGCAAGTTGTTCTGCGAACCGACCGCTGTGAAGCTGTTCGAGATCGGGTGTGGCATTTCATCTTTCGAGCATCAGTCCAGCGATCTGCGAACGAGCATTGATGCGCTAGTCGCTTTGTTGTTGAGCGACGAGAACAGTTTGCGTTAGTGTCTACCTGAGCTCGCAGCATTGCAGCAGCTCCAACTACTCTAAGGCCAAGTTCAAGCAGACGAACCCGATCGAGAAAAGTTCAAGGACGCTGACGCTAACGCGGCGGAGCGCCGCCTGCGTGTAGCGAAGAACCGAACAGCATGCAGTGTCCCAAACCAAAACGGGGCGACGTGCAATTTGAGCCCTTGGATCGAGTGGGAATAATCGACCAAAGCCTTGAAGTCGCACAAGTGTTTCTTCGCAGTGCGGACGATCGACTCTTTTTATGTTGCAAGGGCGACGATACATCCGCCTGAACAAAGACGGCGGACATCCATACATTGGTACGAAGTGCCCTTGCGTTTCCGACGCGTTGTGATTGGTGCGTTTCTGTGTTTCTTTTCGTCGAATCACAAGACGGGATGTGTCGCTGCGTTCGTTCGCGCGCATTTTCACGCTGTCGACCGACGCGAACGAGCGCGCGGTCGCCCTCGCAGAAGCGGCGGCGCGGGCGCTCTGCGGGCGCTCCTCGTCGGGTCTCTCGCGCTCCACTGCGGACTGCCCGAGACCCACTCACCGCATGCAGTACGTCGTCCTCTCGGCCCTTTCCTGCGGCGAATGGACGCGGACTCGTAGACGTTCGTGTGTGTCGTGTGGGCCGCCGCCGTCGTCGGCATTGGCGGCCTCCACCAGCGCTCGACGCGCAGGGGCCTCTTGTGGTGTCGGCCACGCGCAGCTCGGACCGATGGAAGAGCAACTGCTGGAGGTGCCGACGGCGCGACGCTGCCGGACCAGACGCTCACGGAGCGCGTGCGACTCGTGGGCGAGAACTGCGTTGCGACGGTGCCCAGTAGCACTGCGCTTGGCACAGAATGTGGCGACGCGATGCCGTCGGAAGACGCGGACCCGGACGTGCGCGTATTGCAGGCTCAGATGTTGTCGGACACGACGAACAGCCAGCGCCAAGCGCCGGAGCGGTGGCAGCAAGTAGTTCATCGCACGTACATCAGCACAACGGCCTTTGTGGACCCGAAGCACGCGAAAGAGGCAATGCGAGCATTCAGGACAGCGGCCGCAGTATTCGCTTGATGTACGCTGGCTTGCAAGACCCAGACGGCAAGATGGAGCAATATTACGAATCGATTGCTGGGGTCTACACTGACCACGAGCCGTCGTTTCGACCGCTCGCCACGTCGACGTACTCGATTGCGAACCGAGCGGCGGAGCATGTTGAGACACCGAATATCCATCCGCAAGTGCACTAATATTGGGAAGTGCATGTTCCACGTGTTTCACTATGTCACGGCGGCCACGGGCGTTGTCTGGATGTACTACTAGACGACGATGTACCCGCAGCAGTACTTTTGTGACCACGCGTGGCCGACGCTACCGTGCGACACATACGTTGCCAGCCATTGGGACGGACGGGTGTTTCAGCTCGACAGTCAACGTTGACGCAGACTCGGACGATGGACGCTCACGGAGCGCGTGCTACTCGTGTGCGGGACCTGCTTTGCGACGGTTTTCAGTGGTACTGCGTTTTGCACGGAATGTGGCGACGCGATGCCGGCAAGAGACGCGAACCCGAACGTGCGCATCTCGCAGTCGCAGATGCCGTCACAAGACGACGACCAGAGCTTGAAGACGTGGCGTCGCCGGCACAGCTATGTCCGTGAACGCCGCAAATAGGGTGGTAAGGGTGTGCAGCGTCGTGATTGTGCAATCGGCTCGCTTTCGGACGACTTTGACTACCGTGAGCGCGGTATCCTGCGTGTGATTTTCATTGGACGAATGACGCCCGATACGTCCCATTCAAAGGCTGGCAAGATGAACAATTGCTTGTTCAACGAAGGTGCTGACGGCACGTATTTTCTGATTATGGATAATGACATGAAGCCGCATCCGAAGGTTTTGCTTGCGGGGCTGTCGTTTTACTTCTCGAAAGGCGAAGCCGTCGACGGGGGAGGACTTCAATGCAGCGACGATATTTCGTGGACCCACGTGTCGTACGTGTAGACTCCTGCAGACTCCTAAGTACTTTGAGGACACGCCCAGTTGACGATCACGGATGATCCGTGCGGGCACAGGAGTACCATTCTAGTTGACGCTGTGTGCAGCGTGGTCGTGATGGTTTCGACTCGGGTGCTTTTGCCGGCTCGAATGCTGTGTTCTGTCGCCAAGCCTTCGACTCGATTGGTGTCATTCAGTACCGTACTCAGTCTGACGATGCGTTTACGGGGAACGTGGTCCACACTTCTGGTTGTAATCGGTGTACTTCCGCATGGATTTTTGAGGGCGATGCCAAGGGTCGTATTCGATTGTGCGGTGGTGCTATTCATGAGACAGTGGATCTTGCTATGGGTCAGAAGAAGGATTGGGCAAAGGGTGGTGTGCAGATTCTGCTGATGCAAAATGAGCGCGATGTCGACCCAGACTGGCGTCTGCCGCGCGTGCCTTCCCCGAGCCTGAAGCCATCTCTTGCGTTCCCGCGCAAGATGTTTATCTACGACTCGGTGATGTACCCGTTTTTGGATCGATTCCTGCCCGGAGTTACGTGGCTATCGCCGTCTACTACTTGTGCATGGGAGACGCGCCGATCTACGCTCGTGGAAAGAAGATCCTGTACTCTTTCTTGATCGTGACGTTGTGCCGTTGGGTGCTGAACCTGCTGGCCAACTGCGCAGTTGACAGCAACGACGTGTGGTGTATGCAGCAGGCATGGCTTTCGTTCTCGTTTATTACGATGATGTCAGTTTTGAGGCCATCCAGGCGCGTGTGACGGGTAAGGACAAGTCAAGGGCAAGCATGGGTGCTGGTCAGAAGACGCCGTGGACATAAATACCGGATGTGCTTTTCTTCTTCACGCTGCTTTCCTTCAGCTCGTGGCACTCATTCGTATTTATAATCACAGGTACACGAAGAATCCGTGGAACTACGTGTCTGCCATGTTCTTTGGTTTTTCGTCACCAGCCAGTACATCATGGTCAAGATGAGTATTCCCGAGTACTTCGGCTGGGACCATACTGCTGCCACCTTTACTGCGAATGTGTTTGGCTCATTGCTCGTGGTCTACAGTGTGGTCTTCGTGCAGCTATGGCAAGTCTACTACGCGGGCAATTTCCAAGTGGCCCAATATAACGGGGCAGCCCGTTACATGGAATTGTCACTTTAAAGACACAATGACAATAAAGAATATTAAGTTGAATATTCTTTGAACAATATCACCGATAGTGGTGATATTGGTGAAGCGACCAAAGGGTCTGCTCATTGGTTGATATCTTGACGATATCAACCCACCAATCGCCGCAGGACGCGCGCAATGAGTGGTGACGAGGCGTCACCATACACTCAGTTAGATTAACATTATTAAGTCAGGTTAAACAGAGAGACAGTAACAAAAGACTTGATTATATTAATACAACAGTTTTACTTTTCCCTTATCTACGCTTCCTCGTTTGCCTCGTATATGTCTGTCGGGCGCACCAAACCCTTGCATTAAGTTCACGCAAGGGTGTGCCCCCTTACACCTGGTAGCACTTTGTAGTCCTTCCAGCGGCCACAAACATCTCATTCAACATGTTGAATGAGGAGGAGACCTATCACGCCACGCGTGAAGGGTTCAACCACTTAAGTGACATCGAATGGGGTGCGTACGAATGAGTTCTACCGTAGGCAAAACCTCCATTAGCGCCATGTTGGATTCTCTAGACAGAGAACAACAGAATGCCGCTATAGCCAAGTTCATACAACATGAACTTGTCGCCGTAAGGGAGAAAGTAGCCTTGCTTTACCAGCAAGGCTCTCAACAGGCAGAGCAGTTGAGAGAACTCGGTGCTCAACAGAAAAAGCTGTTGAAAAGCATAAATTTAATGCTGATGTGAGCGGGACGACACACACGCGTCGTCCCGAAATCTTGAAGGTCGACATCTCCAAGTACAGAGGAGTCGAGGATGACTCCCTGTTAAGATGGTTCGTAGAACTAGACAGAGCCACTAAGGCACGTCGTATCGACGATGAGCAAATGAAAGCAACAGTTGCTCAAACCCAATTGGCGGGACGTGTCGAGACTTGGGCCTTAGTGATGGAGATGAGCGACCCATACGCTTTTAGGTCACTATAAGCCTTTAAGACCCGGCTCAAACAGACGTTCGAACCGCCACGGGCTGAGTTCCGGGCTCGATCAGAGCTCCTGAAACTCAACCAGGGTAAGCGTGATGTGCACGCTTACGCTCAGCATATACGACTCCTTGCGAGTAGTATAACTGCTAACTCAGACCATGAGCACACGTTGGTTACGGTGTTCGTGCAAGGGCTCGCAGAGGGGCCCGTCAGGATCCACCTGTTCCGCCTTGAGCTGAATACGCTGGAAGATGCGATATCAGACGCGGAACAGGAAGACTTTAGCATGAGACAGGCTCATGCTAGCTCAAACTCTTATCGTCCACCGAGACGACAAGAGATCGAAGGTCCAGAACCAATGGACCTCTGCTATGTTGAGAGCGAGAGACCTCGCTCTTCAAACAACAAGCGATTGCAAAAGTGCAATCGCTGTCAGAAGTTAGGACACTACGATTACGAGTGTAGTGCACCACGTCCAGTACGAAACAGTCCTGAACGAAATGATCGGCCATTTTCCAGAAAGGGCAATGGGCTTAGGTCCAACACCGTTGCAAAGCCGCAGTATAAAGGCGAACCATATAAAATGATCGGGGTCAGAAGGGGCAGGGCGTCCTACTGATCCAGCAACCTTAAGAGAATTTTGGAGATCTCTTGACAATTTTTTTGATCCAGATACACAATCATTGTGTTTCTCTGCACCTGGTAATGAGGTATCATTCATCACCTTGAAGTTAAAAGTAACCAAATATCTGTCGCTCCGTGCTCTAGTTGACTGTGGGGCGTCGAACAACTTTATTCGCCGCCAGTCACTAGAGGGTCGTAGACTCAAGTTCGTTAAGCGCGACATTCCTCTAACGCGGATGACGGTGCGTCTTGCTACAGGCGCATCTATAACAGTTGAGAAACGTGTAGTAGGAATCCACTACACGTTGGAGGGCGAACAGTACGATGATGACTTCATCGTACTGGATCTGGATGACAAATTTGATGTCATCCTGGGATTACCTTGGATCAGAAGGCACGAGCCAAGGGTGAGCTGGCAGCATCGATCCGTAAAGATGCCTGCCGCTTGTTCATCAGGTGTCCATACGACAATCCTAGGAGCGTTTACAAGCGTGTGGATGTACTACGAGTGAGTGCGATGGCCTCACTTGCGGTACGGTCGTTAGCACGACTGCACAAGACCTCAGTGTAACTGATAACTACACTGTGGAGCAAGCCCCCAGCGGCTGTGCAGGAGTATAAGCAGAGTCGAAGGTCCACTACTCGAAGAAGCCGAGTGGATGGGAAATGGATGCATGCCTAGCGGGCACATACTAGAAGTAAGAAAATTGTTGCCGCCAAAGGGCATCACGGTCATCCTAGGTCTACTGGAGAGTCGACCGCAGAGAATCGGCTCCTGACTGTGGTTGCGCAATCACAGTCAGAATACGTCGAGGGAATAAGTCCCCACGTACTTGAGGAAGGAATTACTCAAGAGTCATTTGCTGAAGGATTAGGCCTTCAGCAACCTGTGGAACGAAGAGGAAGTAATTGAGACGTTGAACGTTTAATCAATGACGGATCAAGCGTAGGCTCTTATACGCTTGATCTGATTGTGCCTCCGAAGTTAACTTCGGAGATAACTTAATTGCAAACGCTAGAACCATGAAGGTTCTTGCGTGATCTGCGTAGTGGCAAAGTCAAGTAGATCTTCATATTCGTCACAAAGGATGAGTATGTAACCGATATTCGGTCGGCAACAGTATTTGCTGAGAACAAACGAATTCTCAACAGCTCATCGATGGACGAAAGTGTCCTCGATGAGAAGACTCGGATTGAACGGTACACGTCTCAATCCTGGGAGTCGCTTCAAACAAATCATCTGTATAATGATTTGATCTAATTCAAGGATGTCTTCCCTGAATCTGTGCTATGCGAGTTGCCTAAGGACAAAGGCACTCGACACGAGATCAAGCTCAAACCGGGCTCGAAGTACTGTGTCATGAAGCAGTGGCCACTGCCTCGTAAACAAGTACTAGCGATCGAAAAGTTCGTTGACGATCGCTGTGCAGCGGGCCATGTGAGGGAATCAACATCCTCTCACAGCTCTCCGACCTTATCTGTGCGAAAGGCCACAGGAGGATGGAGGATAGTGCACGCGTTCAACAAGTTGAATGCTGCAACGGTACCGAATCAGACGCCGATACCGAGGAAGGACGTAATCATAGATGGTATTTCAAAGAGTACCACCTTTTCGTCCATGGATCTGATGGATGGTTTCTATCAGATCCTGATGCGTGAACGGGACATCCCGTACACAGCAGTGAGCACCCCTAGCGGTATGTTGTGGTAGTGGCTCGTGATGCAACAGGGGCTGCGAAACTCCCCTGCAACATTAAACAGATGTGTAACAAATCTGTTGAGACCGGTGCGGGACTTCGCACCGAGTTACTTCGACAATGTGTTGGTCCATAGCCAGGGTATGGACATAGATACAGACGTGGGAGTTCACGGAACACACGTTTGTCAGGTTCTCCAACTTATGCGCAAGCATAATTTGTACGCCAACCTTAGGAAGTGTATATTCGCGGCTAGCAAAATAACGCTACTTGGGTGCATCGTGGGTAAACACGGCGTGCTCCCTGATCCCTAGAAGATCAAGGCGATCACCGACTGGCCTGTGCCAGTCGATGTAAAGGGACTTCGTAAGATCCTTAGGCTCGCGGCGTGCTTGAACTAGTACTCACGCAATTACGCCGAGATGACTGTGCATAGTTCTTGTCTACTCAACAAAAATGTGAAGTGGTCATGTAACGACGACTTTCAGCGTTCCTTTGAAGGTATCAAGCAGCACTTGATGCAATTGCCCATATTGGAGATTGCAGATCAGGATAGACCATTTCATGTGGTCTGTGACGCCAGCGTTCTTGCAATCGGCTGTGCGTTAATGCAGTTCGACGCAGATGGCGCAGCGCGCGTCATCAGTTATCAGTCGCGTCAGCTGCAAGCAGCTGAGCGCAATTATCCAGTGTATGACAAAGGATTTCTTGCCATGAAATATTCACTGGCTAAGTTTCGTGTATATCTCTTGGGAGATAGACCGTTCATCGTCTATACGGACCATGCGTCACTACGCGCGGCCGTATACAGCCCACAGCTCTCGCAGAGAATGGCGAGGTGGCTGTCTTTCTTCGCGGAGTATAACTTCTCCTTGGAGTATAAACCAGGACGACTAAACGTCGTCGCTGATGCGCTTTCGCGCCGGCCCGATTTCGAGCCGGTCGCACAATTCAACAGTGAAGATAAGCCCCAGTTGCGACACTGACAGCCAGTGTTCCGTCGTCAAGCTTACTTGACGACGTACGAAAGACATACGCAGAAGATAAGGATCTTCTACGATTGATGGATCATCTGGTGCATCTATCCAGGAAATCATTGAAGAATTTATCGGCTTTGTACCGATCCTCATCGGATCGGTACACAACGCGTAACGGACTGTTATATTATACATCCGTGACGGCGACACGAGGCGTGTCGCCGCCCCACTCATAATGATTTGCGATTACGCATCATGTATGAGTGTCACGATGCCCCAATATGTGGCCTTCGTGGGAGAGAAAAGACTTACCTCACGGTAAGTCGTGGCTTTTACTGGCCCCGCCAGTACCAGTTTGTGCGCAAGTACATCCGTGCTTACGAGCTTTGATAACAGATGAAGCCTAGTACTTCATCCTGTTCACCCTTGCAGCCTCTACCTGCCCCGGTAGAGTTATGACAGTCCGTTTCCATGGACTTCATCTTCGTTTTCCCGAAGACGACCACGAGAATAATGGTATTGTTGTGTTCGTTGATCGGTTCAGCAAGATGGTCCATCTTGCTGCAGTACCCGAGTAGATCACGGCACCCGGCTGTGCTCGTGTCTTTCTCGACACTATATTTCGACTTTACGAATAGCCTCGTGAACTCGTATCCGACCGTGTCCTCGATTACGGGCGGCATGTTGTCAAACCGTGTTCCGTTCTCTCGGAACACGGTTGACGATGTCTGCTTCTGACCATCCGGAAACAGAGG